CAAGCGGGGAACCCTGAGAACTGTCTGTCCGGGGTGGGGGTCGGGTCCCTTTAAGCACAGCCCTCGGCTAGCCTGAGAGAGCAGCTCCACGATCTAAGTCCTAACCTGATGCCCTGCTGGCACTGCTTCCGCTCATCCTTAACCTCGGTTCAGGGTCCACTCAATGTGGACATGCTAGTTCAAATTAGCAAAATGCTAATTCGAACTAGTTTTTAGGTCTAAATGCACTAATTCAAATTAGCTTAGTTTGAATTAATTAATTTGATTTAAGTTAGTTCGAATTAGTGCTGTAGTGTAGACATACCCTAAGCGACTAATTGACTACTTCATAAGCATAAGCTCATCACTCAACTAGTCGCTTCCCCCCCGACCCCCTCCGGCTGCCTTCATTAGAGAGAAGCAGCAAGGTGGAGGGGAGCAGGAGCTGATGCTGGGGAGAGCCAACTTAAAAGCCAGTTCCCCCAGCACCATCTCCGTGGGGGGTAGGGGAGGCAGAGGCATCCCTACTGCTGCACCTCTCTCTTTGAAATGGGAGAAATTAATCTCTCATTTCAAAGGGGGGGCAGTGGGGTAGCACGCATCCCCCTTATTGACATAGGTATGTCTACACTACAGCACTAATTCGAACTAACTTAATTCGAATTAGTTAATTCAAACTGGGTGGGGTTGCAACTTCTTTGGAGGATAGGGACATAATTCAAAATGACCTTAGCAAGTTAGAGAAATGGTCAGAGGTAAACAGGATGAGGTTTAATAAAGAGAAATGCAAAGTGCTCCACTTAGGAAGGAACAATCAGTTCCATACATACAAGATGGGAAGCGACTGTCTAGGAAGGAGCATGGCAGAAAGGGATCTAGGGGTCATAGTGGACCACAAGGTGAATATGAGTCAACAGTGTGATGCTGTTGCAAAAAAAAAGCAAATATGATTCTAGGTTGTATCAACAGGTGTGTGGTAAGCAAAACTCGTGAAGTCATTCTGCCGCTCTACTCTGCACTAGTTAGGCCTCAGCTGGAGTACTGTGTCCAGTTCTGGGCACCACATTTCAAGAAAGATGTGGAGAAATTGGAAAGGGTACAGAGAAGAGCGACAAGAATGATTAAAGGTCTAGAGAACATGACCTATGAAGCCAGGCTTCATGAACTGGGCTTGTTTAGTTTGGAAAAAAGAAGATTAAGGGGGGACATGATAGCGGTTTTCAAATATCTAAAAGGGTGTCACAAGGAGGAAGGAGAAAATTTGTTCCTCTTGGTTTCTGAGGACAGGACAAGGAGTAATGGGCTTAAAGTGCAGCAGGGGAGGTTTAGATTGGACATTAGGAAAAAATTCCTAACTGTCAGGGTGGTCAAATATTGGAATAAATTGCCAAGGGAGGTGGTGGAATCTCCCTCTCTGGAGATATTTAAGAACAGGTTAGATAGACATCTGTCAGGGATGGTGTAGACGGAGCTTGATCCTGCCTTGAGGGCGGGGGGCTGGACTCGATGACCTCTCGAGGTCCCTTCCAGTCCTATTATTCTATGATTCTATGATTCTAAGACATAGGAGGTAATTGTTCCACTCTACACAGCAACAGTGAACAATGTTTCCTCTAATTTTTTTTCCATTCATATGCAGAATAAATTTTGTTGTATGCACTGGAGCATGTGCAGATGTGCACTAGCAGCAGAAACAGGGGCTAACCCTGGTGAACTGCATCTGGACTATGGGCCACCTATTGTCCACCCATGGGTGGCAAGTGAAGGTGGGGAAGACAAGCCTGAGCCCCGCCCTTTCTGCCTGAGGCCCCGCCCCTTCAGCAACCTCCTCTCTCCTGCAGCCAAGCCCCGCCCAGCCCTAGCCTGATCCTTCCCAGGTAGCTGGGGCATGTAGGCTGTTGTGCCCATGTGCCCACCCCAGCTTTACAGTGACACCACCTGTCACTGGGCTGGATTGCACCCCAGAATGTGACACATCCTCTCAGAAAAAAAAAAAATGTTTGCACAAAAGAAAAAACACCATGATCGGTTTTGAGAATGGTGGTATGAAGTTTCACTAGTTACTACCTGGTCTTGGATTCAAGGCTGAAACTGAAGAAAACCAGTGACTGTAATATACAAGAAAGAAGTTGGAGCACAGTCAATTTTGAAACAGTGATTGTCCAGATCCCACCTGGTCATCAAGTAAAAGTATCCAGTATGCACGTTCTGGTTGATAACACACAACTGGATGATCTGGCAAAAGCAGAAAGTATATGGGAATGAGATACAAACACTGGCACTTTATCTTCAGGAATAGGATAATGGACCACCCTTTGAGAGTTCCTGGACGCTGCCAAAATATGTGACTTTGAAGCCCTAGACAGCCCTAAACAAAGGGAATTGAAAGATATGGAGTCCTTAAAGAACTTATTCCAGAAATTAACCGGGGCCAGAGAAAATTCACTTTTAGCCCAGCTCAACTACAGAGCTATACCGCTAGAAAATGGAAACATCAATGTGAGATGTAATATTTTGTCTAACAGACTTACACACGCTTATTCACAAGACATGAGAAATAAAGCAAGGTCCCTCTGTATCTACCTTGGCACACAAGAGAATATCCAGGAAGTCCAAGTGTCTCTTCTTCTTGATCTTTTCAAGTTCTCGCTCATCTTTGAGGGATTTCTTCCTCTCCTTAATCACTTTTTCTGTTTCAGAAAAATAAAATAAAATCAATTTTTAAAAAGATAAAAAATATATATTTCAAGACTCTGGATTTTTCTGCTAGCTCTATCCACAGAGTCCAGGGCCATCATTCAACATGTGAAGTCTTTTTGGCCCAATTAGCCTCCATGCTAATGATGATAGGAGTCACTCTGAGTAGGTGCCAGAGGATGTAGGGCAGAAAAGCAGAAACCTTTTTTGAAATATGGTGCATCTACACCGTGCCATCCCTTACTCCTCATAGAATAAGGTTTACAGGGATGGCAAAATAGCACGTCTGCTATATTTTGAAATAGCAGACATGTTCAAAAGACGTGAGGGAGCTATTTTGGGATACCTCTGGTATCCCAAAATAGAACTGCAGTGTAGACATACCCCATGACTCTCAATATAGTGACAAAAGCAGATGTTTGATTGGAAATCAGTGTCCAGGACTGGATCAGTATTGATAGCCCTGCTACAATGCATGGACCATGTAAACACATTCCGGCAGGACAGTACTAGAACGCCCCAAACTAGCCCACAATAAAAAGATTTGACACAAGTGATGAAGAGTGATATTTTGTCTGAAATGCCAGGAGGAAAGTCCCAGGGGAGGTAACCCACATGTCATGAAAGGCGTAAGAGGATACGGAGGGTGTGTATCCCAGATTGTTTGCCTCAGTCTATACATTTTGGGGTACCTCACCATAACTCTTTGTCTGGCCTAGAGAGCAGTGAAAAGTCCCACCACGGACTGAGCTGACACCATTGTCGGGGATATTCATGTACCAGCAGACCTGTAGGAGCTACAGACCATGCTTTGACAATTAACCTAGCTGCGTGTCTTCATCCCTTATCTTATTTTGTGATCCCAGGGGGTTCTCTCAGGGTCTGCTGGGCCAGCTATCTGTGCAGAGCCAGGGCAGCATACAGAGGGAGCACATGCATGCAGCCGAAAGGCTATCAACATTTGACCGAGCAAAACATCTGACAAGACACCACATCGGTGACATCTGACAACAATTAGAAGCTGGAGGATGGTCAGTCCTCAAATTCTGCCCACATAGGTCATGACTGGAAGGTGCCATCTGGTATCCACATAACACCTTTGATGACAGTCTTATCAAAGAAGCCACACTTGATGTGTTTATGAAGAGTGCACCTCTAACGCCCCAGAAGAGAGGTGAGGCCCATTGACAGTGCAATACATGGGAACCTTGCCCAACAATATGTCTAGATCAATAGAAGACTTTGGTCTCCGTGGGTGCGTCCACACAGCACCCGAAACTTGAAATAAGTTACGCAATTTGCGCTAAGCAAATCCTGAAATAGCATTGCAGGGTAGACATACCCCATGACTGTCAATATAGTGATAAGACGCCATTCCAGCTCTTGTGGAAGTCAACTGATAGCTTCTCATTGGCTTCAGTAGGAGTTCGATCTTCTCTACAGGACTGCTAACCCCTCTCCCCAAGTCTCAGAAAAAGGCAGCCAGAAGGGCCTTGGGAAATACCTGTTTGGAGATGCACAATGTCACAGGCCTTCTGGAAGCGGCGTCCATCACGACTGAGCCAATAGATGAAATCAAAATGGTATGGGAGGTACCACATCCTGTATTTTAACTGAAAGGTGATTTCATAGACAGATTTGATGTAGGCGTTCTCCCTGAAAGAAAAATTAGAGGAACTTACACAGCATAGTAAGGGCATTTAGCAAAGTATACAACTTTTCCGCCTAAGGTAGAGGTGTAACAGTCATCATTCAAAGCTGCAATACCGACACCTATGCCCTGACTCAGTGGCAGCAGAATCGCCAGAATCCTGCCAGGAGCTGCGGATCAGGAGTGAGGGGCACTGGCAGAGCTTGGGAGGGCTGGACTGGGCAGGGCTGGCAGGAGGTGCATGAGGGAGTGAGGTGCACTGGCAGAGCTGGGGGAGCCCAGGGCTGTGTTGCCAGGGGCTGTAAGTCGAGAGTGAAGAGCCACCATGCATTGACCCCTGTTCTCTTCCCTCCCCAACACCTCCCAGATCATCGAGCAGAACTATAACACCACGTGGCTGATACGGCACAATGCCTCCATTGACCTATCCACACTCACCACCCTCTGGTCCCTGTCGGTCGCCATCTTCTCTATCGGGGGCATGGTCGCCTCCTTCCTGGTGGGGGTCGTCTCCGAGTGGCTGGGCAGGTAACGTCTCTCTGCCATCCACCGGGGGGCGCTCTCCCCTGACAGGCAGGGCTGGCCCCAGGGCAGCGCTAGAGGGTGCTGTGGGGCAGGGAGGAGAACACAGAGCTGTGGATCTCCCCATCTCACTCTCTTTCCCCTGACCCACAGGAAGCGAGCCATAATCGTCAGTAATGCCCTGGCCTTCCTGGGGGGGGCGCTGATGGGGCTGGCCAAGCTGGGCTGCTCCTATGAGATGATGATCCTTGGCCGATTCCTGATCGGTGCCTACTCAGGTAATAGGCAGCACCTGGTGGCCAGTAGGATGGCTGGGATGAGGTGGGGATGAGGCACGGCTCCGCCCACTCTTTCACAGGGATCCAGTGCGTGGGTTGGTGCCAGGAAAATGGACAGGGTGGACATGCCTGGATCTGGGTGGGAGGGTAGGTGCTAGGATCTGGGTGGGTGAACAGTGGATGCTGTGGGGGGTGAGGGGGGTGCCTTCGATCCAAGGGGCGCTGTGGGTGGCGTGACCTGGGCGAGTACCACGTGTTCTGGGCACTGCATGATCTGGAGGGTTGCTAACATGGTGGGTGTCATAGGTGGGAACTTGGGGCCTGGGTGGGGGAATGGTCATCGAGTTCTGCACATCACAGGTACCATCCCCCGTCCTGGTTATGGCTCCGTCATTAGCATGCAAGCCTTATCTTTTAAAAGGGGGGGGTATGTAGGAGGGGTGGTCACAACCCTCAGCCTCAACACCGCCCCCAGATCTTGGGGGTACACTGTCCCTCCATTCTCCTGATCAGCTGTTCCCTCCAGGGCTGGTTTCCGGATTGGTCCCCATGTACGTAGGGGAAATTTCCCCCACCAACCTGCGGGGGGCACTAGGGACCCTGCACCAGCTGGCCCTAGTCATCGGGATCCTCATTGCCCAGGTAACAGGCACTTGGGGGTACCATGATGCAGGGGACAGGTGGGCCTAGCAGGGGGTGATGTGCTGCAGGGGAGGACTCAACAGGGAGCAGGGGTCCAGCATGGGTGCTATGCTATGCGGGGCTGGGTTGGGGGGCTAGGCAGGGGTGCCCGGCTATGGGGAGGACTTGGCAGGGGATACCATGCTGGGGGGAGCTGGACAATAATGTGGTACAGCGGGGGGTGCCATGCTACAGGGGTGCAGCTGCAGTAACCGACCTACAATCTCTCTCCACCTCCCGGCAGGTGTTCGGACTGGACTCCATTCTGGGTACCCCAGAGCTCTGGCCCCTGCTCCTAGGTATAACAGTGGCCCCATCCGCCCTGCAGCTGGTGCTCTTCCCCTTCTGCCCTGAGAGTCCCCGGTACCTCTACATCATCCGCAACAAGGAGTCCAAGGCCAAAGAGAGTGAGTCCCCCGCTGACCCTTCTTTTTCCCACCTGCCCGGTCATCTCCTCTTCTGCCTGTCCATCTGCCCATCTGTCCCCTCTTCCTCCCACCCATCCATCCATCCATCCCCTCTTCTGTTTGCCCGCCTGTCTGTCCATTCTCTCTTCTACTCGTTTGTCTGTCCTTCTGTTCCTCTATCCCCTCTTCCACCCGCTTGTCCATCCATCATCTCTTCCTCCCACCCACCCATCCATCCATCTGTCCATCCATCCCCTCTCTGCCTGCTGACCTGTCCATCTGTCTGACTGTCCATCCATCCTGTCTTCCTCCAGCCACCTGTCTGTCTGTCTGTCCATCCCCCAATTCAGCCCTCCCCCATCTCTCTACCTCTCCATCCTCATGAGTTGTCCCATCCCTTTGTCCCTCATTGCTCCATCCATCTCTCCCCTCCGGCCCCTCCCCTGGACTGGCAGGTCTGAAACGGCTGACAGGACACAGCGACGTGAGCGAGGCGCTGACGGAAATGAAGGAGGAGAAGCGGCGCATGGACATGGAGCGCAAGGTCTCCATTGCCCAGCTCTTCCGCTGCCGGGTCTATCGCCAGCCGCTGCTCATTGCTGTAGTGCTCCAGCTCTCCCAGCAGCTCTCTGGCATCAACGCGGTGAGATGGGGGAGCAGGGCTTGGCTGGGAAAGATGGGGGGAAGCTTGGAGATGGGGGTGGAGCTTTGTTGGGGAGGGACTTAGGGAAGATGATGGGAAGAGCCTGAGGAAATGGAGGTGGAACTTGGGTGGGACATGAGAGCCATTGGGTAGGGGAGGAGTCTGAGGAGAATGGGGCAGAGCTTATGAGAATAGGGGTGGAGTCTGCTTGAGAGAGATGCGGGGTGGAGCTTTCCTGAGGGTGGCACCTGGAGAAATTGGGGCAGAGCCTGGATGGAGAGATGGGGTGGAGCTTGCCTGGGAGAATGGGAGGCAGAGTCTGAATGGGAGAGATGGACCTTGATTGAGGAGGAGTCTGGGAAATGGGGGTGGAGCTTCAAGGAGACAGGGCAGCAAAGTGAGACTCCATGGGACCTGGGGTGGCCCCATCTGGGCTAGCTCTGACCCCCCTTCTCTGTCCCCCTCAGATATTCTATTACTCCACCAGTATCTTTGAGTCAGCTAGGCTGGAGCAGCCAGTGTTCGCCACCATCGGTGCTGGCGCCATCAATGCCGCCTTCACTGTTGTCTCAGTAAGAAACCCCCCTCCCGCTACGGCCTGCTGCCTGTTGGGTCATCTGTCTGCACCCCCTAAAATCCTATTTCTCCCCCTTTTGTTTCCCCTCCTCCATAAGCTGTTCCTGGTGGAGCGGGCAGGGCGCCGGACGCTACACCTGGTGGGACTGGGAGGCATGATGGTCTGTGCCGTGGTGATGACTGTGGCACTGGTATATCTGGTGAGTAGCCAGAGTTCAACAAGTGGTCCGGGGTGGGGGAGACTAGGGGTGAGCGTAGCTTGCTTGCCAGGGGAGAGCACCCCTACAGAGCCTCCTGCTCTTCTCCCTGCCTTACAACGTCCCTCGCGCTACTCTGGGTCCAGCCCTGCCTGCCCCTTGCTGAGCCCCCACCCGCCGCACAGCTCTCCCCTATGGCTGCGCTGGGGCAGTGGCACTGGCCCTTACAGCCAGGGAAGCACCCCTACCCCCCGCAGTCTCACTGTGCAGGTTCTCAGCCTGCCCCCTGTCTGTCTCCCCCCAGGAGCAGGTCCCGGCTATGAGCTACGTGAGCATGGTGGCCATCTTCGGCTTTGTGGCTTTCTTTGAGATCGGGCCAGGGCCCATCCCGTGGTTCATTGTGGCCGAGCTTTTCAGCCAGGGGCCACGCCCAGCTGCCATTGCTGTGGCAGGAAGCTGCAACTGGACCTGCAACTTCATCATTGGCATGGCCTTCCAGTCGGTGGCGGTGAGTGCAGCTCTCCACGCTGCCCCCACTGGCAGACGTGTGTGTGCAATGCTGCTCTCTGTGTGTGTGTGTGTGTGTGTGCGTGTGTGCGTGTGTGTGCGCGCACGCGCACTCTGACTGGGGGTGCAGACTCAGGGATGAGGCACTCAGGCCTGGGACAGAAGGTTGGCACGGCCCCACATGGCCACACAACTCTGTGTGCACACATGGGTACTCATAATGCCAAACACCTCTGTGTGCATGTATGCAGGCATCCATGGGTGGCCACAGTGCCACACAGCTGTGTGTGCATGAGTACCAAAACTCAATGCAACTACATCCTCATCCTCATCTCCCATCTGTCACTTGCTGCTTTTCCCCTTGCACCCCATTCCTCCAGGTTCAGGAGGGGCTTGCCTGTGGAGGTGGGTCTGAGAGCTGCAGCCACCCTAGGAAGGTAGGAGGCCAGCTGAGGAGGGACTAGAGAGTGTGTGATGACACAGATTCTCCCCCGTCCACAGTAACTGGACTCTTGGTGACCAGTCAGATCTACTGTTAGTTCAGTCGAAAAGTGGGCATGTGGCCATCCTACCCCTACATAGGGGGCAATACGTTACTCACATGCCCACTTGTACAACTGCTTCTGCATGCCAGATGGAGCAGTGCCATCCACCTGCGAGCACCCTGTGCCTGGGGGGCAGTGTCTCCCACGCGTGCTCGCTTGCAAAACCCGCACAACTCCCTTTGCTTCCAGCACTCACCCCTTTCTCTCCTCTCCCCTAGGACGTCTGTGGGCCATATGTCTTCCTCATCTTCGCGGCCCTCCTTTTGGCTTTCTTCCTCTTCACCTACTTCAAAGTCCCTGAGACACAGGGCCGGACCTTCGATCAGATTGCTGCCGCATTCCGACGCACCCCGTCGCTTCTAGACCACGAAGTCAAACCTTCCACTGAGCTGGACTGTCTGGGGCCAAACGACAACCCCTGACCCAGAAAGGGAGCGATCGGACCGAGAGACACAAAGAGGAATGTAACAGTAACTCAGCACTTTAACGACACAGCAACATTTAGAGATTTTTTTTAGCTTAGTTATTTTGTTGGTTTTTTTAGCCTCCGTGGGTTTTATTTTTAGGATTATATATACAGTGATTGCGTTGTATGTCTGTGTGTGTCAGGGCCATGTTGGGGAGCTGCAGCAGCTTAATGCAGTGACAAAAAAAAGGGGGGGAAATGGGTGGAAATACCCGTCTCAGATAGTTGTGAGCTTTTGGAATTGGAGGTGGGGAAAGACCTCCCCAAGACCACATCCAGAATCCTGAGGCTACGTCTAGACTGGCCCATTCTTCGGAAGAGGCATGCTAATTTCTAACTTTGGAATAGGGAAATCCGCGGGGGATTTAAATATCCCCCGCGGGATTTAAATAAACATGGCCGCCGCTTTTTTTCCAGCTTGGGGAAAAGCCAGAAAAGAGCGTCCAGACTGGCGCGATCCTCCGGAAAAAAGCCCTAGACCGCCAAAGTGGTGCTCCTTCGCTCACGCCCCTGGAGGATCGCGCCAGTCTGGACGCTCTTTTCCGGCTTTTCCCCAAGCCGGAAAAAAAGCGGCGGCCATGTTTATTTAAATCCCGCGGGGGATATTTAAATCCCCTGCGGATTTCCCTATTCCAAAGTTAGAAATTAGCATGCCTCTTCCGAAGAAGGGGCCAGTCTAGACGTAGCCTGAGTGTATGACACTAGTCCATGCTGCAGGCTCCAGAACTACTGACTTCAATGGCTACAGCTGGTGGAGTAGATTATATATTGATGCAGAGATGGGAGATTTTTCCACTGATGATAAGACAGAAGGAGGATGCA